TGAAATATAAACTTTATATATGTGTATATATAAATCATTTTATAGATTTATGTGTGTGTGCGAGAGTATTTCATTTTATAATATTGTTAATAATTCTTACTCTGCTGTATAATTTTATAACACACATTCTAGATTTAAAATATAGAATTTTAATGTAATGTATGATCCTTTCAGATGTTTCTGAAGCTCACTGTAATAAGGAAATTGGCCTTATGTGAGGCTGACGTTCAGAAATGAGCGCCGTGCATTCTGGGTATGCAGTTAAGTTGACATGATCTTCCATTAGCTAATGAAAATACAGGAGCGGCTGATCTAAACACATTTTTACCTCATTACAGTCTATAAGTCTTCGTGTTCAAGTCCAGAAAATCATAATAGGCTGCGTCCACGAAAAAGTTCAGATAACTTATCAGTTTCTTCTCTGTGTCAAAGGTTTTAGTTTATTATAGTGCATAAATCTAGAATGTGTATGTTATAAAATTATGCTGTAGATTAAGAATGATTAACAATACATAAATACACACACACACGCACACACATACATAAAATGATTTATATATACACATATATAATTTGTGTTTAAGTAAAAATATTAATTTTATATATGTGCATATATGTATATAATATTTTCTAGATATATACATTTTTATATATAATATAAAATATTATTGAATTTTTATTTATTACTTTTTTTTTTTTGCTGTAGCCTGTAATTGTGCTTTGAAATGCGCAGCCATTCACAGGCTGCTGTTTGATTGAATGGCCGAACAACAGTGTTTTTATAATGTTACGTCATATTCTTCTGGCTGAGAATAGATTTGATTTCAGTCAGCGTGTGGCTTTTATTCAGTTTATGATTGTGTGACCCACCATTCGAAACGCAATTTCCTGTGTTATCTCATCTGTATTACTGATATCTTACAACATCATATTTTACCATTCAGGAAATTATGCCTGACGTACATAAAAGTGATAAACTAGGAGTCTTTTATTTCTTAATAAGATCTGATGCAACAAGTAATTTGTCTTTGAAAGAAAAACTGATTTTCTTGATTGTACATAAACATTTTAAGTCTTAAGATCTCATGCAGATTTGCTTCTTGACTAAGTCTGTTTTTGTTTACATACTTTTTGCCTTGTTTTGCATTAAAAATACCAAGACTTAGTTTGATAGATCAATACAGCCAGGTTTCAGACAGGTTGCATTAGTGATGTTGAGTGAAGCAATAAACGATCTAATGCAACGCTTCCCGCCTCAGCTACACATCCTGATGGGATACTTTCACTCAAGGACAGTCATTGCCATGACAACAGCCCCTCAGGGCAGGGCTTAAGTGCAGGTATTCTCATTAGAGCAGAACTACAACACAAGCCCAAGCCCTCAAGGATGTCTCTGATCATTAAACCTTGATGGCCACAGACAGATGCTCAGACGTGTTTTGTTCGTTCCCAGCGGAACGAAGCACGCTGTTCTGTGATCTAATTATTGATCGTGAACACATGACGCTTTCACTGCATGTGTGAGGAGCCACTCAGAACTGTACCGCTTTCTAAAATTGAAAACAAGGTCAAGATGTTGTTCTGAATAAACCAGGTTTTTTGCACATGTAACAGTGCTGGATGGAGTTTATCAGTATCAATCTGACTTCTGGATAACATCTCTGCTGTTTTTACTCTAATCCGCTGCCTGCTAACCGGTTTAGCTCTGATGTGTCTGTCTGTAGATCAGAGACGGGTCAGACATTATTCTCAGCAGAATTCCCCTCACAGATCCTCTATCAGACCAAACAGTCTGTCTGGGACAAAGACAATGAACAGCCCTGTGTCTGTGAGTCTTGCAAATGTGCAGCTTCTGAACAAGAAATGCAAAAGGATGCGCAACAGTAAATGGGTGAAATAACTTTGCTTTGTTTTTTTTTACTTCAAAAGTTTCATCCTGGGTTATATTGTTCAAGATTCCATATTGTACACTACCATTCAAATGTTTGGGATTGGTGAGATTTTTCAGTGTTTTTGAAAAAAAGTCTCTTCTGCTCACCAAGGCTGCATTTATTTCGACGACAGGCAGCAGATGAGGTCTCATGATGACGAGATTGGAGCATGAGATGTTAGAAAGCTGACTGTCATCATCAAGTCTGTTCAGTTTGGGGTCAGTAAGATTTGTTTCTGCTCACCGAGGCTGCATTTATTTGGTGAAAAATACAGGAAAAATGTGAAATATTATTACAATTTAAAATAGCTGTTTTCTATGTGAATATCTGTTAAACTGTAATTTATTTCTGTGATCAAAGCTGAATTTTCAGCATCATTACTCCAGTCTTCAGTGTCACATGATCTGATTTACTGCTCAAGAAACATCTCTGATTATTATCAATGTTGAAAACAGTTGTGCCGCACAATATTTTTGTGGAAACTGTGATGCATTTTGTTTTTCAGGATACTTTGATGAAAGTTCAAAAGGACAGAACTGGTTCGAAATAGAAATCATTGTAACATTATT